AAATTTCTTTTTTTGAAAAATAAAAAACAAGAAAATAAGTCACTAAAAATTCCCCATTTAAATGCTATAGCAAGAAAAAACTAAATAATTTAACAACAAAATCAATAAAATAATAAAAAATTGCAAAAAAAAGAGATGAATATTCATTATGCACACACTCAACACACACTTTAAGTATTTAATGGAATTTATTATTGTATATTTCGATTTAAAAATTCCTTCTTCAAAAATAAAAAAACCGACAAACAAAAATGAAAATAACAATAAAAATACAAACGAAAAGATGAAACTAAAGCCCTTTAATGAATAGAACAACTAAAAATTAATAAAAAAATGAAAAATGTTTCATTAAAAAATCAAGGGAGTTTTGTTTTATTTCAGAGAGGAAGGTGGGAAATAAAATATATCGCAGTGATGTATTTAAAACTAGCTCGGTCGCCAATGTGAAATTGGAAATCGATTAATTTTTAAAGCAATTTTTTCCTGGAAATGTTTCTTACATTTTTCTTTTTATTTTCATATAAAAAATTTTTATATATTTTTTTTCTTTTTATTTCATTTTACATATAAATATGAAATCTCGTATTTTTTCAATGTTATAGTTTATTCCTTAAAGTTCGTTTACACATTGCAAATAACTAACGCTTTGATTAGTGATTATGTGTACTACAAGGCCTCCAACGAGACCAGCTGGATATCAGCTGTCTTCCATTGTGAATTGACTTCCATTATGAAAACGTAAACAAAGTCCAAAGACTTGAAAAAAAAACGCTGACTTTCCATTATGGTGTTATCTCGATTTAATTTATAAATCGAGCTGAATTTATCTCATAAATCCCCTCTCAATTGCTCGAAATCCTATGCTAAATCGAGGTAATAATTCCAAATACAACTGTGCTTATCAGCCCAAAAAATGCATCACTTCTCCTAAATGTACCGAAATTGCAACCCTTTTCGCTTCAAATACGTTAAAATTCAAAATATTTGCGTAACAAAAATATGTCAGAAGCTGAAAATTTTATTTTTTTTTTCTTAAAATTAAAAAAAAAAACTTATTGGAAACCAGTGAAATGTGTATGTAGACGTAAACAAATAACAGCTGACTGTCAACTTTATAACATGTTAATACTAGTCTAAACAGTTAGGATTTAGTACCTCGGTTTAGAAATTGTAACGATTTTGAATAGTTTAAATATATATAGTTTAAACGCGTCCTACGTGCCTGAATAATTTTGTGTTAAATTTACATTGAGCATGTTTTATTTTTGCATGGCTAGTGTAAATGTAACATGAATAAATGTGTCATTAGTACCTAAAATACAACCCTATATTAATTGGTTTAATATATGTCTCAGTTTAAATCATTCATTATTTGACATATATAAATTGCTTAAATGCAAGAGTTTATTTTTTTATATTTGTAATTTACTTATAAATATAATTTTCAATAAATAATTAAATCCAGTGCAATGTAAACGTACTATAATAGACAATTCTTTATTTTTTCTAAAGCATATATATATTATAAAGAATCCCACATTTTTGGCACTAGTCTACATTTTAAAGATATTTCTATTAACAAAACAATTTGTGAATCAAAACAAATCTATTTTCAAAACAAATTCTAGAACAAATCAGATGTTTTTTGGTATTTAAAAAAAACATTATTCTATTTTTAAATAATAAGATGACAGCTTTGATTTATGGACATTTCATTAAAATAATTTAATTAAACACACACATTTTTTTCTATTTTCAAATTTTCAACATTGTTTCTTTGATATTATAGCTAAAGATTAGATAACCCCATTAAAAAAATATATACATTTACAATATTTTGTTTTGTTTACATGATTGTTCATGCAAAACATTATTTGTCAACAATGGCAACACAAACAAATAAACGTCAATCAATTAATTGCCAAAAGAAAATCGAGAGAGAGAGAGAGAGAGAGGGGAAATTGAATAGTGGCTGCATTGAGACGTCTGGTGTGAAAGAATTCCCTCAACAATTTAAATGAAAATAATAATATACCAACCCGTCATGCCAGAGAATGCAGGCGACAATTGTGTCAGAGGTGTCGTTAAGAGGGGGAAAATGTGGGATAAGTTTTCCGGAGAAGGACATATAAAATAACCAATAAATTTAAAACAAAAAATACTCCAATGTAAATTGTATTAAATGTCAATATAGGCCTATTTAGACAATGCCTTCTAAATCGAATCGATTAACAAAATCGTAGGTGTTTAGACTAGTATTAAAATTATATAAAAATGACAGTCAGCTGTTATTTGTTTACGTATACATACACAATTCACTGGTTTTATAATTTCTCTGGCAATTTTTCAATCAATATTTGTATCATTCTGATAGGAATTGCTCTCAATTAGGTAAAAATGAATATCAAAATTATTAGATTATTATTATTATTAGATTTGGTTAAAAAAATCTGCTGCCACATTTCTTTTATGAAACTAATTAAAATTTCAATGTATTTTGAAGCATACTTTTAAGAGAAGTGATGCATTTTAGGCGCAAAAGCAGGGTTGTATTTGAAATTATCATGTTTAAGAATTCGAGCATATATATTAGAACTTTTTACCGGGTTAACCTTCTTTATGCGGATTTATTTGACATACAATCAAATATTTTGAAAAAAAATTAATTAATTTTCCTTACGGTTTAATCATTGTATCGTGACTAAATATCCCGTGCACTTTTTTGCAAAATACGTACTTTTTTAATCTACCCCTAACAACCTTCGTCATTTGTCTTGATGATGCATATAACTATTTTTTTCACCCGCGGCGTTGCGCCACTGTTGCACCTTAAAAAAGTACATCGGTTCGGTTAACCAAATCCATTATCATCTGGCACTATAGGAAAAAAAGAATGTCATTTGTAAACAATAACAAGTTTTATAATTAGCTCTAGGGGAAAGGAAAACAAATCTTTGCGTGCGTCAGAAGAGATATTTGGCAGTTGATGAATTTACACTGGGCTACAAATTAGGAGGACACTAAGTGGCATTACTGATACGACATTTTCCAGAAACAAATATTCAGAAGAAAAAATTGCCACACAAATTGTGAAACCAGTGAAATGTGTAACGTAAACAAATAACAGCTGACTGTCAAATAACAGCTGACTAGGATTTTGCTTCTCGATTTAGAAATCAAGTTGATTTAGGAGCCATAGTTTAAACGAGCCATTAAACGATTTTTCAAACAACACATGTTTATATGTGCTTTAACAAGTATGAGTGGAATTCTTATTAGAATTATGAAAAAATTTATAAGGTGTAGTCTAATGTCAATTTGGACTTTACTTTTTCATAATGGAAACCCATTCAAAAAAAATGGTTTTTGACAGCAAACATGAGAAGCAGCTGATATCCAGCTGGTATCCCTGGATGACCTTATTGATAGGCATTGGCTGGTATTGTACGTGTTTAAACAAGACACTTTAATAGACAAAGGCAAAAATACAATCCTGTCATATTCTTTCTCTTGCATACAGAAAAATTAAAAAAAAAATATATTTTCAATTCCAAAAATTTCATAATTACAACATTCCTGAAAAATTCCAAGTTTTTGGAATAAAACAATATAAAATTCATTGTTTTAACTAAATTTTCATATTTCCAACAAATTCTACCTTTTTTATTATCACATAATTTTTGTCAACTTTTTTAACACTTGTAAACATAGTATTAGCAGTCCTGTTTACATGCCTAAGAAAATCATGCCCATTTTTGAGTGCATTTTATTGTTATTTGCAAAAAACGCAAAAACTTTACAAATTATCTACTTGAATTTTATCGCATATTACAGTTATCTTATCATCATGACATGCTAATCAATTCATTGCATGCTAGTCCATGCACCACCAATTGTTATTTGTGAGTAATTTTCTATTGGCACGCATGCAATTGATTTCAGAAGTAGGAATGCTTGTGTGTGTCAGTATTTCTTTTTCTGGCCATTTAGTGTAATTTATTGCAGTGGAAATAAGTCAAGCAGTTAAACTGACTTTATGAACATTTATTGCTACGCTTTACATAAGAGACATACATATATGTATATGTTAACAATATATAAATTTATTAACTTGGGATCTATATTTTAGTAAAATGTATTTAAAATAGCTGATTTTTGACAAATTAATTTTTTTCATAAAAATTAAATTTGTGTAAACATGACCATTTGTTTTTTAAACCTAAATAAACGATATACCAAACCATTCTGTACATTATAATATATTTTATTATTATTTATAGTTAATTTTAATTATATTTATTATATTTTTACTTAAAAATATGTATTTTTAATCAAAAATCCCCCAAATATTCCCCCCACATTGGCAATCATGCCCTATGATGCATTACTACCGTGTTATCATTTCATTGTGAATGCCTTCCTCACTCAAACACACTTAATACTCATTTGGCATTCATTTTGCCTACTCACTCTCTTGTTCTCACACACAAAGAGAGCTGCGTATGAACAAAACAAAACACGTTCTCTTACGTTGTCAACCCAACCGTTATAAAAGTAATTCACACTACTGTGCGAGAATCATTCGTCAATGAACTACTTAACGGTGAACAACAAAAATTGCTGAAACCTACAGGTGGAAGTTAACGAGCAAAACAAAAAAAAAGAGAAGAAGCATAGAAAAAAACTAAACTAAAGGGTTGTTTATAAATAAAATAAAAAGAAACGTTTAAACATAAAAAGAAGTAAATATAAACAATAAAGTGCAGTGCAACGACAAAAGAAAACAAATCTAAACAAGAATTTGTGCAAAGTCAAGCAAAACTAAATTGCAGCAATTTGAGAAGAATATTCTGGAATTCACTGAAAAGAGAGTTGCAAAACTCATCGTTGGTGGTTGAAAAAACAGAACAAAGTGCCTTCGCAGCATAAAAGCGCAGTGGTGTTTCTTTTGTATTGATTTTTATCTTCTTTTGCGGTGAAAAGTGACTTAATAACTCGCCATGGCTTTTATGATGCCGGTCATGAAAAATAATTACGACATCTACAAAAAGGATGGTCGTTCACGCAAAACCTCGGAGTGTTCGAATGGACCCACCTCGGGCCCAGCTGGAACTCCTTCCGTGGCATCGGCCATGGGTGTGAGTAGTGCCCAGGCCACACGCAGGCAGCGCATGAAATCCGAAAGCTTTGCCTCCTCACCCAGCCACACATATCGCATGCAAATGCAGCGTTGCCAAAGTCAAAAGACCTTTCCACGTAATGCTTCGCGTAGCTCACAGTGCAGCACATCGGGTGCTTTGTCACCGACACGTTCCTTTTATCAGCCCTCTAGCAGTCCGCCAAAGGCCAACAACAATGAAAACAACTCGGCCGGATCACAACCGGATTTGACCAAATTCCATTTACGTTTAGTGGAGAAATTACGTAAATCCTTTCGCAAGGATTCGGCCAAACGTTCCTGAAAGACTAGTCTTTGGTCACGAGAACAACATCAACAACAACAGCAGCAGCAGCACGAACAAGAAGCAGAAGAATGTAGTAATAATTGTTGTCAACCGCAACAACAACAACATGGAAATAAAGCAGAAAGCATACCTGGTGGTAGAGATGACAGTTGTAGGGATCCAGTGTCGCAGGCAGTGGATGGAGGCCATACGGATAGGCCGAATGGCCAGCCAGGGACAACTGTCATTACAGCCAACAATGACAACATATCTTCAACGAATTGCGGCAAACAAATGCAGGGGAGTAAAAATGCGACAACAGCAACAGGAGGAGCAGATGCCTTGGAACACAGTAGCATTACAAAGCCTGCCGCAAAATTTAAGCCTCACTTTGGACATCGTTTAACGGCCCCTTTGGCTAAATGCCACAAAAAATTGGCCAATTTACATTTGCATCACCACCACAGCCATCAGCATCATCATGGCCAGCAGCAGCAGCTGTATCAGCAGGCGGAGAAAAGTAGCATGACCCTGCAATTGTTGAGTTCCACATCGACAGTGGAATTATATAAACACCAAGAATCGGAAACCTCAAGTCTGTGCACAACCTCCGAACACAAACAATTGTTAAAACATCAGCAAACGACTATGGATGGGAAATCCAAATCGCCGGAAAAAACCTATGGCCAAATGAGAAATGCACGGAGGAGAAAAAGGCTTTCGTTTATACGGAGGTGTAGCAAAAGTGCCCCAGGCTAACGTTAGAAGCGGGAGGAGAAGGAAAGGGGTCAGTATGAATTAACTCCATCATATCATGATTGTGTGACATGATCGTTGCATGATCATCCAATGATTTTTCGCATTTGGTGTTTCGGCGAAGAGTTGAAAATGTGAGGAAAAAAATAAATGATTTGCCTGCCAAAGGAAAAATTTTCTAAACGCTTTACATGATTTTGGCCCAAACCACCAGCCAGCCAACCAACCCACCATGCATGACGTTCAAATGGATGCAGGGTGATGGTATGTTGATGATAGTTTTTTTTTTCAATTTTTTTCTTTGGCATTTTGCCCAATTTCATTTTAATTTTTTTTTTTTTTATTTTTGCTGTTGTTGTTATTATTATTCTATAATAGAGGGAAAACAACTAAATGTTGATAACATTTGTTAATCATGCAGATTAGCAAGACAGATGGTTGAGTGGGATGGATGCATTACAGGAATTTAAATTAAAATTAATATGGGAACTGTGTTTGTTTTTCGGCAAAGAAAATTGAGAAAATATAAAAAAATAGAATGAAATAAAATATTTTGAAATTATTTGAATTCTGATTTAAAATAAAAAAAAAATAGTGAAATTAGCACAGATGTGGTTAGGCGAGACTTGGGAAAAAGACTGACATTAATATTTTTTTATAAAAAATTAAAATGATTTTAAAAAATTAAAGGAAATGAATTTTATTTTGCTATTTTAAATATTTTTTCTTCTAGTTTATTATTTTTTTAATATTTGTCAGCAATTTAAAAAATGTCCTATTACAACTACTTCCATATTTCGGCCAAAACATTTAAAAAAAATTGTGCTAATATTTTATAAAAAAATCTCACCTAACCATTGAATTTAAACACAACATTTAAACAAAAAAAATATATAAAGTTTAATTTTTGAACAAAAATATTTTGGTAATAAAAAAAATTAAAATATTTTTTATAGTAAAAATTATTATTTTTATGTTTAAAAGAAAAAAATTAGAATATTTTTTTTACAGCTCAGGACCAAACAAATTTTTGTATATAAATTTCTCTTAAAAAATTTTTGGTACTTAAAAAAATTTTTTTTACTATTTTTTAAGAAACGCAAGGCTTCCTTAATATGATTTCAGAAACAAGTATAACTAAAACTGCCAGGACAAAAGAACAACAACACAAAAGAAAATCCCAAATATTTAATAATGGATCAAGACCAATTTTTTCCAATACAAAACAAAAAAGGGGGAAATTTTAAATTAACAGCCTGTTTTTGTAAAATTCGAGTGACTCTTCGGTTTCGAAAAAATTTGTAATTTATTTTTGTTTTGAATCAAATTTTTTACATAAATAAAAGTTTGGTAGTGATTCGATCGAATAGTTTCGCTTGGAATTTTACAGGAACTAGGTGTTAATTTACACCAAAAAACTGAAAATCTAAATAAATAAAAATATTTTATGTATCAAATACATTTTATAAATATATGTATATATTAAATAGAAATTATATATAGCAAAAACAATGAATTGTATTTTTTATACTACTTAAAACAAAAATTGCCTGAAGATAAAAGAAAAAACTATGTAATACAAATATAAAAGCTTTGTCTTTATATAAACTAAACAAATATATATCTAATTTTTTCTCTGCTAATTATTAAATAACCAGCAATATATTGTATCTTGAAATAAAATTTAAAACTTCTTTTTGTTCAAAACTGCAAAAAAAACAACAACAACAACCAAATGTTTACCCGCATGTTTTCTGCTTTAAATAAATAATATAATACAACAAAAAATATATAAACCAACTAAAAATATATATAAAATAATTTACTATATAAATAAATTGTATTATTTTTATATAATTTGTATAATTATAATTAAAAAAAAATTGTATATATGTTATTTTTTAAGTTTGCAAAAAAATATAACTTAAATAAAAATTAATTTTTCAAAATTAAAAATTTGTGTTTTTTAATGGGAATAAAATGGGGTTAAATTATGGGGATCGTCATTGTTATTAATATGAGGATTTAATGATGAAATCCAACAAAAAACTCAAGCCCGGAAATTAATCTGTTATGATTTCAAATCAGTGCCCATTTAGGTCATAATTTGTCTTTTCCCATACCTTCTATACATTTCAGAGTTGCCGTTTTGGCATTTCGAACCAAATTTGGTACGAAAAACAATAAAATTTTCAATTGAATACGATGGTTTAACATTTTCATGCTACTTATTTACGGAAATTCCGCTTATTTTTTTCTATGATGGAACCAAAATCGGATTTTGATCCCCTCTTAGGGGCATTTTGGTCGGAATTTTTTTCAAACGGCAGCTTTCATCCACATTTTGCAAAAACTGTTCATTTCAGCTACGATGCATTTTAGTTTTCAATTCCCAACCCATTTCCATTGCATTCTAACAACTTTTATTCATTCATCATCATCCTCACCCATAAAGAAAGAAAAGAACGAAACAAATCACAAACCACAAAAGAATGAGAACAACTGGAAAACAAATTTGCGCTGCACTTTTTCTTTTCTTTCAGTCCATAATTTTCTTGAGTCAGTCAGCCGTAGCCGTCTTCGTCATCATCGTCGTCGTCTTTTTGCCTTTGTTTACACTGCACCTTAACTTCAAATCACGTTCTCTGCGGTGCAATCTTTGATTCATTTCCTTTCCTGTATTGAAATAAAAAGAAACAACACAAAAACTACAACAACAAAGCATTCTGCGTGTTCTATAACAATCAACCTACAATCATTCGTATACACGTTTCAGTGGGATACAAAAAAATTATAACAAGAACAAAAACAACACTTGTAGTTTGTGTATTCAGGAAATTAGCCTTGAATTTGTTGTTGTTGGTTATATAAATCTAGCCATGAAGAGGCATGAATAGAAACACAATTGGGAATTTAAAAAGGCCGATTTAAAGAAAAATAATAATTCTTAAATTGAAAATAAAATTGACTCGGAATAATTTTTCTATGAAGGAAAAATTATGGAGGAAAAATTATTTTTCTATGGAGGAAAAATTATTTCAAATAATTTTATATAAAAAAATTATTTGGAACAAGTTTTCTGTAGAAAAAAGTTGTTCGGAATAATTTCTCTATAGATAAAAATCAATCTGAATAACTTTTCTATAGAAAAAATTATTCGGAATAATTTTTCTACAGAAAAAAATTATTCGAATTAATTTTTCTACAGAAAAAAATTATTCGGAATAATTTTTCTACAGAAAAAATTATTCGGAATAATATTTCTATAAACAATTTTTCGGAATAGTTTTTTTGCAGAAAAAATTGTTTAAAATAATTTTTCTTTAGAAAAAATTATCCAGTTTTTTTTTAATTCGGAATAGTGCTCTATAAAAATAATTGGAAATAATTTTTTGTTAGAAAAAAAGTTGAAATAATTTTCTCACAGAAAAAAATAATTCGGAATAATTTTTTTGTAGAAAAAAATGGTTTGAAATAATTTTTCTATAGAAAATTATACGAAATAATTTTTCTATAGAATAAAAAATATTCGGAACATTCTATAGAAAAAAAAATATTCGGAATAAATTTTCTGTTTGAAATAATTTTCCCATAGAGAATAAGATTTTTCTAAAAAATATTCGAAATGATTTTGTTAATAAAACCAATTGTTCTGAATAATTTCCGCATAGAAAAAATATTCGGAGTAAATTTTCTGCATTATACATTGTAGAGAATAATTCCGAATAATTAATTAATTATTTCGAATATTTTTTATAGAAAAAAATAATTCGGAATAATTTTTTCATACAAAATAAATATTCTAAATAATAATTTAATGGAAAAAACATTCGAATATTTTTTTTTGCAGAAAAATTGTTCGAAATAATTTTTTCCTGTAGAAAAAAAATTAATCGGAATAATTTTTCTATGGAATAAAATTATTCGGACTAATTTTTCTATAGGAATTCGGAATCATTTTATCTACAGAAAAAAAATATTCGAAATAATTTTTCTATAAAAAATTTTTCGCTATAGTTTTTTGCAGAAAAAATTGTTTAAAATATTTTTTTTTTAGAAAAAATTATCCAGTTTTTTTTTTATTCGGAATAGTGCTCTATAAAAAATAATTGGGAATAATTTTTTGTTAGAAAAAAAAAATGAAATAATTTTCTCACAGAAAAAAAAAATTGGAATAACTTTTTTGTAGAAAAAATGGTTTGAAATAATTTTTCTATATATAGGAAATAATTTTTCTATATATACGAAATAATTTTTCCATAGAATAAAAAATATTCGGAACATTCTATAGAAAAAAAATA